TAGCATGAAATGTGTGTGTGTGTGTGTGTGTGTGTGTGTGTGTGTGTGTGTGTGTGTGTGTGTGTGTGTGCACGCGTGTGCGTGCGTGCGTGCGTGTGTGCGTGTTCGTGTGTGTGTGCGTGCGTGTGCGTGCGTGTGCGTAGGTGTGTATGAAGAGAAAGAGGGACAGCGCGAGGCAGAGGGAACAAGAGAAGCATGATACGTTGTATTTGTATGCTGACGCGTAGTTGAATATTTGCCAGAGTATCAGCTCGCCGCCTCGGGAACACGAACACACTATAGGTTGTGTGCTTTGTCACTCACGTCCATACATCGTCCATTGCGACCATGAGCGAGGCGGGAGCGCTCACACGAGTCATACGAGATGTTTATACGAATGGTTCTTTTGTGCGAATGCATGGCGAGTGCTACCGAAGAAAGACCGACCACCACAAAGACGCGTGAAACACGAGGTGCCTGTAGTTCACATAACTTCATAGAGCGAACCGAACGGTTAAAGTAATGGGGATGATCAAGGCATGCCAGAGGAACTATAGCGATGATGCACCGAGAGTATAGGATAATGTAAATCAATAATTATGAATGCACGCTGAGAGATGATGGCGTGTCTTAGTTACGATCCGTACTCCGCTACGTAAACGCGCGTAGGGCGTGAAGACGTTTGCGCGATGCGTCCGCGCGTGTGAGGTGTAAAGTTTGCAGACGCGCGAAAATAGCTGAGCATTGTCTTTTAGAACGTCTCATCACGTCGATGATTGGCTAGCACTGCCTGTCAATCACACCGGGAAGCATTCTCACCACGGAGATCACGTGACTATTGGATTTTGTTAAATTGCGACGCCACAACAAACAAGAGAGCAGTTTTCATCTCTGTGGTGAGACTGACTGGGGCGGACAGGTCACTTTGACAATGGCTGGGCCGGAAAGTAGTATACGCACAGTTTCTGACGTCAGACAGAAACAAAGGATAATTCGCATCCTTCTTTAGACTGCCGCCTACCTGGCGGTTCAATGCATCTCTCTCCTCGGTAGCCACACGGGGGCTCGTCTACGGGCGGATGGCCTCCGATCCAAGCCACCTGGCGGTCTTTTACGAGAGCAAACATCTGCGAGCAAGCAGAAGAATTTGATCAGAACTGTCGAGTCGCAGTGCGCCCTCTGGCGCATATATATATACTAATGTAAAATTCGTGTACGGAATCAGAATCTCCCCCCCTCCTAAATATCACGTTCATTCATCTGGAAATAGTACTAAGAAAGCGAACGACTGTTGCTCGTTCTGCAGCTAATATAATACTAGCAATGTTATTATTATTATTATTATTATTATTATTATTATTATTATTATTATTATTATCATCATTATTATTATTATTGTCGTGACTATTATTTCTAAATATGGCAAATTATAGCTCTTGTTAAGACCATAACCTTTCTTTATAGACGATAGCTTATACTATCATGAGCATTGTTGCAGCTCAGACACTACTATCCCTATTAGGTATTAGCCTGGTAGCCGGCGTTGCTCGGGAAAAAACATCTAGGAACAGCTTTTAAGAGTAAATTCAGCCACATATACTTACTTAATTCTAAAATATATTCACCCCCTCCTTCACCCATACGTATATCGCATATCGTATCGTATCGTGTTGTGTCGTGTCGTGTCATGTCATGTAATACACACTAATACTAACAGTACTAATACTATCATGTATGCTAATACTAACAGTACTAATACTATCATGTATGCTAATACTAACAGTACTAATACTATCATGTATGCTAATACTAACAGTACTAATACTATCATCATGTATGGCTAATACTAACAGTAACTAATACTATCATTGTATGCTTATACTAACAGTACTAATGACTATCTATGTATGCTAATACTAACAGTAGCTAATACTATCATGATGCTAAATACTAAACAGTACTAACTACTATCATGTAGCTAATACAACAGTACTAATACATCATGTATGCAATACTAACAGTACTAATACTATCATCGTTAGCTAAATATATCAGTAAACTAATTATCTATCATCGTTATGCTAATACTAACAGTTCTAATACTGATCATGGTATGCCTAATACTAACAGTACTATACTGATCATGTATGCTAATACTAACAGCTACTAATACTATGCATGTATGCTAATACTCAGCAGTTACTAATACGTATCAATGTATGCTAATACTAACAGTACTAATGCTTATCATGTATGCCTATATACTAACAAGCTACCTAATACTATATGTATGGCCTAATACTAAGTACTAATTACTATCATGTATGCTAATACTACAGCATAATACTATCATTGTATGCTAATAACTACCAGTACTAATAATATCATGTATGCTAATACTAGCAGTACTAATCCTATCAGTAAATGCTAATACTAGCCAGTCTAATACTATCAGTAGTCTAATACTAACAGTACTATGATACTATCATGTTATGCTTAATACTAGCATACTAATTACTATCATGTATTGCTAATACTAACAGTACTAAATACGTATCATGTATGCTAATACTAGCAGTACTAATACTATTCATGTATGCTAATACTAACACAGTACTAATACTACCCCCCCCCCTCATGTATGCTAATACTAACAGTACTAATACCTATCATGTATGCTAATACTAGCAGCTACTATTACTACATCGTATGGCTAATACTAACAGTACTAAATACTATCATGTTGGTGTATGGCGTTCTAATACTAACAGCTACTAAATACATATCATGTATGCTAATACAACAGTACTAATTACTAAATCATGTCATGCTAATACTAACAGTACTAAACTATCATGTATCTAATACTAACAGCTTACTATACTATCATGTATGCTAAATACGATAACAGCTACAGGGTCGTAGGATAGCGGGGGCATGGCGGGGGATGGCATCCGCCCCAACTTATTGACGTCGGGAGGGATGGCGTGTACATGCATCCCCCCTACTTTCAGGAGCCGAAAATGGGATTCATAAATTTTCTGGGGAGGACCGCATACCCCGCCTGTTGTCTACCACCCTCCTCGAAAACCTCATGCATTGGCCACTGTCGTAGGCGCTAAAAATTGAGCGCCCGCACTTCAAAAAATCGTTCGAGCGCGCGCCTGAAGAGTAGCTGCTAACAAATATTATTGATAATGAATATTTGTACTGCAATATCAAAAGTCAAATTTCAGTTCATGCTGACAGGGGCGTAAATAGCGCGAGGGACCCATGGGGTGGCTTTCTATTCGCTCTACTTTCAGGAGAAAATGGGGAAGAATTTAATATTTAGCAGACAATAAATACTGGTTATTTAATCTACAAATCGTCATCGCTATTCAACCTCTAATGTATTAGTACCAAAATGGAACGTGACATACATCTTACTGTAAAATGGCTGTAAACTCGTTCCAGAATGACATTATTTACTGCAAACTCAGACGGTAAATTTGAAGCGCTTCCCCATACCTACGATTTTTCCCTGCGGCAAATCAGCCAAAGTCATATCCATTGCTTTATTCAAATTTGCAGAGTTAAGGATATTGAATTTTTCAGGAGATTTGAAATGGGACAATTCAATTTCACACTCACTTTTTTTTGGAAGGATGGGGGTGCTGCAGACTACGACCTGAAGTAATATTCCGAGTTTTGTATAAGGGGCTTAAAAATGATGCACTTTTTTGGTTCAGAATCTGGTTGCTTTATCTCCATATTTTTTTTGCAGTTTTAACGTTCTCAGTAAAACATACGTTTTTATCAAAATTTCCAGCGAGAGATGATTTCCAGTGCTGTAGTTTGTCAAGCGGGGTCGTAGCACGGGGCTGGTCACCCCCTAGAATTTTTAGCGGCAATATGTATAAAAGGCACGCCCCTTCAACACCCCGAACCGCCCGGGCGCGCTCGTCCCCCTGAGCTCGCATGATTCCTCGCCCGCCCTCTAGAATTTTCTTTGGAATCCGCACTTGGTTGTGTGGCGGGGAGGGGGGGGGTTGCGTGTTATTAGGGGGAAAAACCTCTGGGATCCAAAGACAAAAAAATTACTACCCTATAATTAACAAAATTGCACTTACAATATCAATATTTGTTCATTTCCTCAAAACGGCACCTTGAGGTTCTAAATATTGCTAAAATCCAAGAGCTTCCAGGCGCTCCGCCCCGCTGAAACCTGGGCAATGGGCTCTGCCCCTGTACCCTGCCAGGGCCGGCCCTAGAGCGTGACCCCTGGAACCACCCATTAAGGACTTTGGCCAAGGCGCTTCGCGGTGTGACGCTACTCCGCGCACACTCTTCATATACATTGCGATTGGAAGTAACAGCGAAATCAGCCCCGCCCACCTGAGGACCTGTCTACGCGCACTGAACAGTACTAATCACTATCATGTATAGCTAATACTTAACAGTACTAATACTATCATGTATGCTAATACTAACAGTACTAATACTATCTATGTAATGCTAATACATAACAGACTAAATATCATCATGTATGCTAATCGAGGCAGTACTAAATTACTATCATGTATGCTAAATACTATCAGTAGGATACTAATACTATCATGTATGCCTAATACTAACAGTGACTAATACCTGATCATCGTATCCAGCGTAATATCTAGTAGCTATAGCAGTTACTAAACTACTATGCAGGTATGCTAATACTACACGTACTAATACTATCATGTATGAATACAACATAACTCAACAGTAACTGATATACATAACTCTATCTCGTATGCTAATACTTAACAGTACTAATACTATCATGATTATGCTAATACTAGCAGTACTAATATATCATGCGTATGCTAATACTAAACATTACTATACTATCATGTATGCTATACTCCCCCCCCCCCCCCCCCCCCCCCCCCCCACGACCAGTAGCTGAATACTACTCATGTTATGGATAATACTAAAGTACTAATACTATCATGTATAAGCTAATACTAGCAGTACTAATACTATCAATGTAGTGCTTAATACTAGCAGTACTAATACTATCATGTATCAATACTAGCAGTACTAATAGCTATCATGTATGCTAACATACTAACAGTACACTAATACTAACAGTACTAATACTTCATCATGTCATGTAATACTACAGTACTAAATACTATACAAGTCTAATACTTATCATGTATAACACACTAATATCTACAGTACTAATATCTATCATGTATGCTAATACTAATACCGTACTAATACTAACAGTACTAAACTATCATGATAA